CCGCGGCCGGCGACTCCGGGCCACTCCCTGGATGCTGCGCGGAGCCCGGAGTGCGCCACGGGGGAGGCAGCGGGAGGCTGGTGTTGAATCCATGAAGCCCTAATTACCAGAGACTCATTATCCCCTCCGCGCTGTTTACTATCAATCCCATACTTTGGCTGCTTTTATTTATAGCATCTGCCCAAGCAACCAGGAGGAGGCGTTTAGTTGGGATTTAACAGTCCTGGTAACAAAGCTCTGGAGGGATTGGGTGCACAGGGGAGGGGAAAGGGAGGGAAACGGCGAATGCAGAATGACTTTTTCATAGCGTGTATTTTGGTGGCAGTGAGCTCGTGTTTGTTTGACCTTTCTGCTTTAATTTTGGAAGAACACCTTCCACATTAAATTTGTGATTAAAAAGTCATTTTTCTTTAGTTTTTTGGTGTTTACATGTGCATGTATTTTAGTTTTACAAAGTTCCAGTAGTACATACTTAGGTAACATTTTTATGGAAACAATTTAAGTGAACGTTTAGGGATCAATTTCTTTTTTTACATTTTATTTATTTACTTATTTTGCCGTACTGGGGATTGAACCCAGAGCCTTGCACTGAGCTACAGCGCAAATGCTTTTTATCATCATCATCATCATCATCATTATTATTATTATTATTATTTTGAGACAGAGTTTTTGTTAAGTTCCCCAGGTGGGACTCAAAACTTGCAGTCCCTCTGTTGTCAGATGGTGTGGTGTCCAGTTCTAGGCGCTTGTCCCAGTCAAAGAAGTGGACAATGCGCACCTGTAATCCCAGCGGAACAGGGAGCTGAGCAGGCTGAAGCAGGAGGATCACTGCTCGTTCTAGGCCAGCCTGGTCTATCTAGTAAGTTAGAGGCCAACTACATAGTGAGACCCTCTGAAAAAAAGACAGACAACCAATAAATATAACAGTTTAACATTTATTGAATGTTGAAGAGAAGGAGATGAAAAGAAGAAAGACAAGAAGATATGCAGGACAGGCCACTGTGAGAACAAGAGGGCAGTGGCCAAGTAGTCAGTGGCTGCCCGCTTTTACATCGTGAAGTTAGATCTGGGCGGTCCCATACCGGCTTGGGAGTTGTGGTCAGGCTGACAGGTCTTTGTGATGGACAAAGTCACTTCCAGATGTCCAGCCCTGACTAGCTGTGCTTTGGCAGCTCTCCATGGTTGACAGGTCACACCTGGTTGCACTACGGTTTGCTCTACCCTGATCTCTCGCCTCACTCTTGCTTTAGCCTCCCAAGATACTGTACTGGGATTACAGGCCTGTGTCATAATGCCTACCATTTTATTTTAAAGGGGCCTACATATTACTTGAATTTGACAATCACTGTTGCCTGTATATTTTATGTCATTTGCTCTTTGCTTTTGGAAGAAGGTTTATAGCTGTAGAATTCATTCACTAAAAGATTTGAAGTTTATATTTTGTTTGTTTAAGGCACACTTTAAATAATTTTAATTAAACCACCATTTTAGGATAAAGGAGGTATGACGATATATAATTGCTACATTGTATATTTCACAACTTTATTTTCACTAATTACTTTTTATTTCACAGATAGTATGTATTTCTCAGGCTTTGGACTATGTTTAGGTGTTCTATTCATCTCAGTCAGTGCAGAATTAATGAATGATGGTGTTGAGATGGAAAACTTTGATGAAAATTCCGATGAGAGTGATGTCGAAGCTGAAAGCTCTTCAGAGGTAAGGCTATTGAGCCATGAGTTCATCATCACTTCCCTTTCGTCCTTCTTGTTAGTATCTTCTTTCCTCAGAGAAATAAAGCCACTTTATTCCTTGAAGAACCACAAATTGTGTTACTTTTTATTTTACCTGAGAAGGTCTGACAGTGTCAGAAATAAAACTAAAAACTTCACTCGCTGCTAAAGCACTTACTTAGTCCTTTTTAACGAGTGGCGCAATTCTATATTGACAGTAAAACCCTTTCACATATTTTAAAAAATAAAACTACTAGGTGCCATACACAAATTTCTTTTGTATTTAGGCACGCTTCAAAACAAAAACAAAAACAAAAAACAGAGCAACCAGACAGGAAAAGACCATGTCCTGTCTACTTAGAAAATGAAGACTATTACATCTGAAATTAATCTTCAGAGATCAGTGGCTGCTGTAAACCTTGTAAAGGAATAATTTATAGCTTATGTCATGGACGATGCACCCTTCTGGTTCAGCATTATTAAAATGCATGTTTGGGGGAACCTAAGGAGATACTGGTACACTGTGACAGTCCGCGGCAGCGTTCACATTGAGGAACACTGGGACCTAGGGTCCGGAAAGCAGAAGTATTTGCAGTGTTGAAAAAGCATTCATTTTATTGTGCCAAAGGGCCAAGGGGAGTCACAGTCTACTTTTATTGACTTTTCTGCAAATACTATGTGTGTTAATTGTTTAAGTGAATATTCTACAAGAGCATTTCCTTTAAGATTTGGTTCTCTCATCTACAAAGAAAGTGCTCAAGGTGCTAGGAACTGGTTTAGATACAGCTACTACAAGGGTCTTTGGAGGTTCATATTTGAAGACGTTGACAGATACCACTCCTTACTATATTTGGGGGATAATTTGAGAAGGTGCTAAGAAGTGGAAAAGAACAATTTTTAACTTTTCTAATAACATGAGTGATTGAGAGGTAGCGAAGTACTTAAGGGCAAAGCAAACTGTTGGTGACTTTAACAGAAAGAAGCCTCTTGTGACGCCATGGTCCATTTTGCCAAACTACAAAAATATAGAGAATAAAGTTGTGAATGAGTAAACTTCAAAGGAGACTGAGAATTTTGATTACTGAATCTTGCCCCATTCAGTAATCATGTGGAGTTTTGTTTAAAGGCTACTTTTCTTCCCTTAAACAGATGGGAAATGTTGTACTGGCAGGTCAGGGGAGGGATGATAAAAATGGAAAAAGGACTTCTGTTTCCTTTCCCTTAAAGGCTGAGAAGAAATCTTGTAACTCAACTTACAGGTACAAGTCACAAAAGTCTAATTCAGAAGGGTCAGATTGTTACTCTGTGCAAAGTGTTATTCATTCATCATCAGTTCAGGTTATCTTTTGGTGACTTGTCAGCAAGTCAGTCTTTCGAGTTACTGAGTTGATAACGTTCTGTATATTAAAGCATAGCTAAGTGTATGGAGCCAGCCAACCTCAGCTCATGCATAGTGCTGCAGTTACTTAGCGCTGACTGGGGCAGGTTACTTTGCTGCTTCCCTATGGTTTGACCAGTTTGTACTCCCTCCCAAAAGGATTAGGAGGGTCCAAGAAGCCACCCTGCCGCCCCAGCACCACTGCTACCAGCAGTGTCACTGTCACAGCATCCAACGCTCCCATGGCACTTGAAGCAGTGCCTTGCTGAGATTTGCTTTGCAGCGCTACTTTTCTGTCACCCTACAGGGAAATACCATTTAATTTAAAATTAGCCTATATGTTTACTGGGGTTTCCATTTTACATGATTTTTGTTACAATATTTCCTTTGCTTCTCATAATTTTTATCCCCAAATGCTGTCTTTTGTGAGGACGCAAAAGGACAACAAATGTGTTATCAAACATGCTCTAATTCCTCCCATCCCCTGATGTCAGGAGAGGTCAGTGTGTCCTCTGTTTGGACGTAGAGTAATTTTGTCATTATGGTATATATTACATTCTTGTGTATACCGAGTTTTGTGATAAGAGCTTGTATCACCTCATAGCTATAGTATCTATATGTGTGACATTGGGTTCTTAATTCGCAAGATTATTTAATTAAAATATTTGCAGAGATGATTAATTTAAGATTTTTAAAATTCTCTTTTCTAGATTAACTATCAGACACCTAAACCCATAGGAGAAGTATATTTTATAGCAACTTTTGATAGTGGGAACTTGTCTGGGTGAGTATTCATTGAAGAGAATGTTTTCCTTGATTTGATTAGCTTTTTTGAAGTTGTTGAGTATTGGCCTTTGCGAATTAGCTCTACTTCAGATGTATAAAAAATTTTCAAGGAGTTTATTTAACAGTGTAAACTAATACTTCATGTATTTTTTGGTATTGGTAGAAATATTTAATTGGAATATTCATTAATATAAAAAGAAATTCTGAATATAAAGAGAAAAAGTATAACAGTTTTTTTAATTCTCTAGGACAAATATTAAGGGTAAGCCCAGGTGAAAAATTTGAGTTACTTTCCCAAACTAAAGAATGATAAAACAATAAAAGTTAATACTTTTATTATTATATGCCAAATGCTATCCTGAGTAGCAAATAAGTACTATATTTAAATACCATTAAAGGTGAATAAGTTGAGGCATGGTGTGCATTGCCTATTGTCATGTAGCTGGCAAATTGAAGGTTCCAAATTTAGTTTAACTTTCTCGGATTATTTAGATATCCTTATCCAACTCCGAAATATTAATTTATTTTGGGGGTAGTCTTTTGTGTTTCTAGTATGCATTGCATCTATAAATTGCTAGTTTTATTTTTCAAGATAAACATGTTTTCAACTTTACTTGCAGGTGGGCCTTATCACAAGCAAAGAAAGATGATATGGATGATGAGATTTCTATGTATGATGGTAAAATATTTAAATATTATACCCAATATGTAGGGTTCAATAGCTTTAGAGTTATTTTGACTGTGTTAGCCAGAGGCCTTCTCCTGCTTCACCTTGAAATGTTCAGACTTTTATCCTTTTCAGTATTTGGGGAAATTCCTTCTAGAAACAGGCCACCCACCATCCCCTTTGCTAATTCTAAACAGGTGCATTTTCACTCCCTTGCAGTTGGTTTTTTTGTGTTTCCTGAAGCAGCACTTCTTAGGCTCCTGCTGGTCTTTGTGTTCACTTCATCTTGGGCACACCTAGATTGAATTAGGATTTTCAGCAAAAGTTTCTGTGAAGTACCAGAGGCCAGTTAGTGAGGGGTAGAAGATAGCGGGCCTACATCCATTATTACAGGGTCTCTGATAGCAGTATCTTCAGGCTTAGCTGTACAAAGAAATGGCCTATGTGCCAGAGTCGTCTTTTCTTCCCTAACTGACCACCCTCGAGAATGACAAAAGATTTCTTCCTTCTAGTCTAAAACCAGCCTCTTCAGTTGTATATTCCTGAAGGAAGATCAGTCTCTTCTCAAGGTGTGTGATAGTGGGATTTCCTCTTTCTCAGAGGACCTCATGCCCATAAGTATGGGACCTCACACTCAGACCCCAGCAAGCAGTTGTAGCAAAACAATAGAAAAACAGATAATAGCATGTGCTGGATGTGGCCTGTCTGCTTCCTTTTCATAGGTTCTGTTTCAACCTAAGGTAAAGACCATGCCTGCGTATGTTCTTTGCACAGTGTTGTTCCCTTAAGTGAACCTTCCCATTGTGTGTGCCTGTGTAACTCCAAAAAGAACACAGCCACGTGCAAAGAAGAAGCAATTAGTCCTACATTCACTCCAAATCCATGTAGTGAAAAGAATTATTTCTCCCAGAGAAGCAGTGAGTCTGAAGAGATATAAAGTGCTGCCTAAAATAAATCTATATAAATACAGTCTACAACATCACACAGAAAGCTTGACGTGAGATAGCTATGTTTAGGCACTATACAGTTTTTTCCAACAACATTGGGAGTATGTTTGCTTTATATTTAATAAGAATCCACTGATGGAGTTTCCCTAAAATTAAGATATGTTCCATTTTAAGGGTGACTTTTAAGTATCTGTTTCTCACTAGATAAAAATGGCTTTTCATGTTTGAGTTTTTTTCCCCCAGCTTTACTGTTTAAAAACTACCACAAAAGATTTTTTAGCATATTACATTTAGCTGTGATTTGTGGCTGACATTTTCAGATTCTTAAAAGCAACTTTGAAAAATACGGAATCTATTAAAGTTCTGGGTTCTGCATATGGTTTTGATATTAGCAGTGTTGGTCTACGTAGTAGTTGAGCCTTATAACAGGTTCCTTTGCAAGATCATTCAGTATTCTCTGTAGTTAATCACAGCTTCTACCCGGTACCACCTGGATAGAGTTCATTGCAAGTGTTTAGGAATAAGCAGATATGTATGAAACATTAAGTGCTGGGATATAAATTGTGCATTTTGGGGAGAAGCATTTAGAATTTTCAGATCATTATTAATAATAAATATAGATATTTAATCATAAATTCCAGTTCTTTAATTGGCCAACTTTCAGGAAACCTTATAAAGGCACGCAGATTCTTTATAAAATTCTATTTACAAGAAAATCTACATTAACTAGTATTGTCTAGAATTTAGATAAGTGATCTGGTTAATAGAAAGTTATAGTTTATTTGAAATGGGGAAGAACTCTTCAGATGGGAAATTACCTTATTTTTTAAAATGAAAGTGATGTTTTTTTTCAGAATTGGTAAATTTTATATTACTTGGCAAGAAAAACAACATAGTTTTAAAAATCCTTTACTATCAGTATCTTGAAAAGCTAAAAAAATTGTTACTTAAATTAAGACTTTTGGAGGCCAGGGATGTAGCTCAGTGGTTCTGCCGCCTGATTCACAAGCACAAGGTCCCGAGTTCAATCCCCAGTACCAAGAAGAAACAAAACAAAAAAACCGAAACAACAACAGCAACAACAAAAATAAATCAAGACTTTGAGGAATTAGTAATTATAAGGATGTTAGTATGAGAGAATAAAAACTAAATAAATAAATCTGTCTTTTAAAAAACTATAGTATAGCCCAATTGGGCCAGGAAACTGAAAAAAAAATTTTTAAGGCATTTTTAGAAATCCAGTAACTACATGTACACAGTGATAGACCAAAAATCACCCCTTGATTCATAAGACTTCTGGCTCTTGCATTGTTGTGTTATTTTTTATAAAAGAAAAAATAATATAAGCATTAGTTATTCAAAAAACTAAATATTTTAATATTTTGAGTTGACACAATACTGGAAATTAGGTTTTTTGCTGAATTGTTTATTCAATTATAGTTAACAATAGACAATAGCTATAATTTTCAAAATCAAGTTTTATACAAATTAATGTAAGTTGGCTTATGATTCTTAAAAGAATAAAGGAGTAAAGTCCAGCGTAAAACTTGTGGGCTCCAAGTAGCCCACTTGGCTGTACTATCCCTGGAGCCCACGACTGGTTGTAGGACTGTTACGATCTTAAACACAGGAAATTCCAGCCCAGACCGGGCCTTTCTGCTGCCTGGTTGTGTAGACCTCATGTTGGGCTTTCCTATCCCAAAGTTCTGAGAACTGCATGGCACAGCTTCAGGGAAGGGATTGTGTGAATGAAATACACAGTTTTCAAAATAAAGTATTGTAGTGCTATAAGAAAATGAGCTGATGGGTATCATGCATTTCGAAAAACAGGAAATTTAGACTAATGCAAGCTGTTCATTTTGTATTAAGGAACACTTTCATAATGCAGTTTTAAATAGTTCATTTTAAAAATTTAACACTGATAGATTCTATGAGAGGAATCACATTTTATACTTTTTTCAAAAGTTTGGAGGGAAAACTAAATTAGCCCAACTTTAGAAGTACCTTAATCAGATACTATAGTATTTGTTATTAAAACCATTTTTGGATGTGGGGAGAAAAGAAAGAAAAAAGACTGTACATAAAGTTGCAGATACTAATTCCAAATCTTTTTTTTTTTTTTTTTCCCTCTCAAATCCTCCTGGAAAACCTTAATGTTTATAGGTCCAGGGATTTAGCTCAGTGGTTCCACTGCCTGCCTTGCAGGTCCTAAGTTCGATCCCCAGTACCACCCTCTCCAAAAAAATTAGTGTTTATAAGCACTGATGAATAATTTTCAAGTAAGTTTTCTGTTTCAGTTTAATGCATTTTGCTTTATTTTCTAGGAAGATGGGAAATAGAAGGGCTGAAAGAAAATCAGGTACCTGGTGACAGAGGACTGGTAATGAAATCTAGTGCAAAACATCATGCAATATCAGCTGTATTAGCAAAACCCTTTATTTTTGCTGATAAACCTTTGGTAGTTCAGTAAGTTTGTTTTTGTATACTTTTTCTGAATTTGTGTTAGTTTGGTATAATTTGGCATCTAAATGTATATATACAAGTACATATACATGTAGGTTTTTCAATGAAAAACAGGCTAATGATAAAATTGTAGAATATATCCTCTAAAACATAATTTTATTACTGTAAACTATATAGTGCACCATTTTTAACTTTTCTTAAAATTGCCTGCTATTGAGATATTGCTATCCATATATTCTGAAAAGAACCAGAAGTGTTGCTGTTAAATCTGTGATGAGACCTAAAGGTGGATGGTTAATCAGTGATAGAATGCTTTCTTAGTAGGCACAAGTCCCTCGATTTGATACCTAGCGCTGCGTACACACACACACACACACACACACACACACACACACACACACTCTCACGCTAGATTTAAACGCAGAAATTTTATTTTTAAAGGTAAATGTGTAATGTAGATCAGTGTCTCATGCATGGACCCTTTTAAAAGTCTCATATTGTTACAGACATTCCTCTCCCACTGTTGATGTGAACTAGTGAGGTTGCTTGCATGTATGCTATTACAAAATCAGGTATAAATTCTTCAAGCTGATTTCAGCTTCACTGCTATGAAACCAAACAAATGTATGTAGGCAGAATTAGAAGACCCATACATTTAAATTGCAAAGAGAAGAAAATGTATAAATGTTACTGTCTGCTTTATATCAGAAATTGTGACTATCCAGAGTTCATTTAGGCATACATAACTACCGTCTGTCCCTCCAGAGCACCTTCAGTTCTTTAATGTTAAATATGTTCTTACCTGGTGTAACTAAAACATCGTGTTACAGGTTTTTGAAAGTGTTGCATTTTGTATGATTGGCTTAATATTTCAGTTGTAGCACTTTGGCTAAATCTATATTATGTAATTTCAATGACTTTAAAATACTAAGGTCATAGAGTATGTGACTATTACTTTAACAAATTAAAAATTTTGTTACAGGTACTTATTTGAACTACATTTGGCCTTACTATTTATCATTATTCAGGATTTGGCTTTTAAAAACTTTCCTTGGGAATTGAAGTTAATCTTACTGTTTTGAAACTTAAGTATATACAATATTACTTTCTATTTTGGCCACTTGTGGCTTAAATCAAAGGGTAAAAGGAAGTGATGTACAATTTAACTTCTCCAGGGTAAAATAAATCAAATTTAGTAGTTTTAGTATGAGTCATTAGTAGGCAAGTAAGAAAGTGCTATCTTGCAAAATTAGAAGCAAAGATTAGAATATAAGTATAAAATTTATTTTAATAGTCAAGAAATGATTATCCTGAAAAAAAGCACCAAGAATTAAATATCAATTTTTCATATGTTTAAAAATAATCAGAGAAGGAGTGTCTTCCAATAGTGACAAGTTCAAATGGGCTAAGTAAAATGAAGAATACTACAAATAAAACAGATTTATGATATATCTAGACTCCAGGGTGCTTTTCCCTGTTGTTAATATAAGTTAAAATGTGTTACTATAGTTTAACCATGCCTACTCTGAAACCTAGAATACTCTGAAATCTGAAACTTTTTTCAACCTCTCTTACATGGCAGCAATTTTGTAATCTTTTTTTCCCCCTGTTCAACACCTTTTTAAAAGTTCAGCTTCAGTTTTTATAATTACATGTTGTTATGGCTTGTGTTTAGATGTCCCCCCAAAGCCTCATGCTTTTGCAGAAGTGGCTGAATCTAGAGTACATGATTGATTCATGGTGGGGCTAGGTCTTAGGCCAGGAGGATTAATGGTGTGAGTGCTACCTGCCCTAAGTAGTCTGAATAAGATAAGAGGGGCAGAAAGACGCTGTGAAGGTCTCTCTTGTTGCTTTTGCTCTCTTCCCACACCATGAACTGTTGTTGCCCCTCTGCCACCCTGCTTGGAGCCAGAGAATTATGGACTGAAATCTCTACAAACTGTAAGCCAATTAAACCCTTTTCCCTCTAAATTTGGGTGTTGGGTATTCTGTCTCAGCAACAAGAAGTAACTTAAGACAGTCATTTATAGGGTACATTGTATATATGTAATGATCAACTCTTGGTAATTAGCATTTCTGTCTTCTTAAATATTTATCTTTTTTTTGTGTTGGGAACCTTTGAACTCCTGTCTTCTAGTTATTTATAAAATACATAGTAAATTGTTGTAAACCGTGGTCACCCTATTGTGCTATAGGACACTAGAACTTATCCGTCTGTATATTTGGTATCTGTTACCCAGCATCCCTCTACCTCCTCTCCACCCTTCCTAGTCTCTGCTTTTCTATGAGACCAACATTGCAGCTTTCAGATATGAGTAAGTACATTCAGTATTTGTCTTTTTGTGCCAGGCTCATTTTACTTGATATAATTAAGTCTCCAGTTCCAACCATGTTGCCAGAAGATGTAGAGAACATTCACTCACTTAGCTAAATTTATTCCAAGGCATTTTATTTCTATTGTAAATGAGATTTCTTTTCACCAAGTTCATTATTCATATTTAAAAATTTATTGATTTTTGTATGTTTTTGTATTTTATGGCTTTACTGAATTTATCAGTTGGAGTAGACTTGGTGGAGCCTTAGGTTTTTATGTAAAAAAATCATGCCACCTACAAATAAGAATACTGTCACTTTCTCTTTTCCTATTTGGATGATCTATTTCTTTCCTTCTCTCTTTTTAATTTTTTGTTTTCTGAAACAGGATCTCAATGTATAGTGCAGGCAGGTCTTGAACTCACTATGTAGCTCATATTGGCCTTTAAGTCACAGCAGTTCTCTGCCTCAGCGTCCTGAGCACTGGGATTACAAAGTGTGCTCCACCATGCCTGGTTTTTATTTCTTGCTCTTGACTAATGGCTCTGGTTAATAGTTCCAGTGCTCTATTGAATAATAATACTAGAAGTGTCTTGTTCCATATCTTTGTCTTATTCTAGATATTTTCCCCATTAAGTATGATATTAGCTATTGTAATGTTATATATAGCTTTTTTAATGCTGTGTTACATATCTTTTATGCTTAACTTTTTGAGGGTATTTATCAAAAAGTTCAATTTCATTAAATACTTTTTCTACATCCACTGATATAATCATACAGGTTTTGTTGTTCATTATGTTTATATACTATATAATGCTTACTGATCTGTGTACATTGACTTATCCTTTCATTCCTGGGAGCAATCACTTGTGATCCTAGTGTATGATCTTTGTGTTACACTATTGGATTCAGTTTGCTGGCATTTTGTTGAAAAGTTTTACATCTCTGTTCATTAGGCAGACTAGTCTATAGTTTTCTTTGTGTGTGTCCTTGTCTGGTTACAATATCAGGTTAATGGTGATTTTGTAGAATTTGTTTGGGAGAGTTACCTCCTTTAGTTTTGTCAGAGTGGTTTGAGATGATTTTGGTATTGTTCTTTAAAATCTTGGTAAAATTCAGCAGTGAAGCCATGCAGTCCTTGGCATTTTTGTTGGGAGATTGTTAATTACTGACTTAACCTACTTACTATTGTTCTTTTCAGGCTGTCAGTATTTTCATGTTTAAATGTTTCTTTTGGGACCGGGAACCAAACTCAGAGCCTGTGCTTGCCAGTCAGGCACTGCACTGCTGAGCTGCTTCCCCAGCCCCATGGTTCAAAATTTGTAAGGCATTTGTGTCAAGAAATTATTAATTTTCTTTAGATTTTCATATTTGTTGGTGTACACTTGTTTTTAATATTCCATAATAACTCTATTCCTGTAGTGTGGCTCCAATGTCTCTTTTTTCACCTCTTTACTTATTCAGGTCTTTGTTGCTAGTCTAGCTAAAGTTTGCTTATTCTTTTTGAAGAACTCTGTTTCATTGATCACACACACACACACACACATATATATATACATATATGTATAATATATACACATTAATTTTTGTTCTGTCCTGATCTTTATTATTCCTTCTAATTTTGGGTTTGTTTTCGTTTTTCTAGTTCTATGAACTGTGGCAATGGGTTGTTTATTTGAGCTATTTCTACATTTCTGATGTGGGTGCTTGTTGCTATAAACTTCTCTCAGCACTGCTTTTGCTTTATCTGTAAATTTTGATATATTTTTTTGTTATGTTGTTATGTTGGTTTGGTATGTTTTCATTTGTTTTGATTTTTTTTACATTTTTCTTTTGGCTTCTTTGTTGACTAATTGGTTGTTTAAAAGCATGTTGTTAAGTTTCTCCATGTATTTTTAAAATTTGTAAAACTATAGTTTCTAAAATCCCCCTTGTCTTTCTGATTTCCACCCCTGGGCAGGTATGCTGTGGCATCCCTGGCTGTAGGGCAGGGTCAGTGTGTAAGGTTGTGGCCATTTGGAGGGCATTTGGCAGGTCAGGCTGTTCAGCAGAGGCTCTGCTTTCTGGGCTGATGGCCGGTGGGTAGTGCCACACACCTGATTTGTGAGCCCAGAGATGGGCAGGATCTCCAGGTGGCAGGAGTCTAAGAGGGTAAGGCACAGTGCGAGCAGGGCTGTTTCAGGGGTGTCACAGTGCAGTAGATTCTCTGCATGTTTTCTAAGCTAGGCTTGGCCCGTGAGGGCTGCAGACATCGCTGGCAGGAGTAATTCAGGTGTCCGTGCAATAGTGAGCCCTGATAAGAACCTCTGTTCACTTATTTCCACTGTGTCAGTCCCTTTTGCCTTAGGGTTCATTGCAGCTGGGAATACTGGGCGGTAGATGGTGTGTGTGTGTGTGTGTGTGTGTGTGTGTGTGTGTGTGTGTGTGTGTGTGTGTGTGTGTGTGTGTGTGTGTGTTTTCTTCATGAGAAGGGGTCTCTTCTGCATCTCTGATGTACCCTACAATACCCAATACTCTCCTTCTCACACCGCAGTAAAGTAGCAGTTATTTTTTCCCTTACCCTGTGTTTTTTGTTTGTTTGTTTGTTTGTTTTGAGAGAGAGAGAGAAACTTGCTAGGTATCTCTAGTAAGCTGTCTTTGCTCTGAAGTCCAAAACCTTTTGAGGACCAATGTGACGCTCAGAAAGTTTTAGATTTCCAAACATTGCAGATGTCAAGATTTTTGGTTTAGGAATGCTCAACGGATAATCTATAGAAATATAAAATCCAAAAAAATTTCAAAATCTGACTTTCAGGTCCCAAGCACTTCAGATAAAGGATATTCAGCCTGTATATATGATGTGGTTGTACAGATTTTAAAACCTAAAAATACCCTATAAGTTTTTCGATAGGTTCTACAGATAAACACTTTCGGGCTGTGTTTCCCAAATGTGTTTGACCACATAACAATAGTTTTTCTTTTAACAGTGATTAGTGTTTCATAGAATAGTTTGGGAAATGATACTGCAAAGAAATTAGGGTTAACACATTTACTCTGCGTGTGTCCTGCTTTCCTGTGATGTGAAGTTTAGCAGCAGTCAAGCTATGTGTGATATATATTTTTCTGATTCTCTGATTCATTGTGAATTATTTATACTAGGCACAAGTTAGTGTTTTGAAAACTTTGAAAGCTTGCAGTATAAGAAATGGACCTGCGATTGAGTCAGAGCATAGTAGGACAACAAAGCTATGTTTACACTTCAAGAGCCAATTTACAAAATTGCTGTTTAATTTCTTTTTATTGAACCCTTTGTCCTTAAGTCACCTATAATAAAGCAGTACTTCATTTTATTTTTCCTAAAAATAGTGACCTTTAAGTCACACCATGTCCTATGTCTTCTGCTTTATAATCTTTTTAAAAATGTAAATTTTATGAAAAAAAAGTGTTAGCTATTTTTTAACATAAAAGGTAAGACTTTGAAATGAACAAATGAATTTTTATCTTAAAAATAAATAATAAAAGTCCTTAATCGTTTTAATAGTCCTGCAAGGAATAGGTATGGGTGGTGTCCCTATATTATAGATGAACAGATACGTAGAACATAATAACATGCTTACTAAAATAAGTGGCAGAATCAAGAATCACTTATGTCGCTCAGATGTCAAAGTGTACATTAACTAGGCAGCACCGAGCTAATCCTAGCCACTCAGTTGGCTGAAGTGGGAGGATCACTTAAGGCCAGTAATTGGGGTCAACCCAGGCAACATAGAGAGACCCTGTCTCAAAGAAAAAGTCTGTAGTCATTATTTTAGACAGCTTGAGAAATAAAGCATAGTAGAAGTAGTTTGTAGTTTTGCAAGTCAGAAATCACTTGAGTTTTTGCTATTCCTTCTGTTCTTTTTAATACAAAATATACACAGTCCAAACTGAAAATTGTGTATGCTGCTCTTTTTCATCTTGTCACTGAAGTTTCTTCAGAATACTTTACAGTCCTTTATTAGAATTGTCACTATTTTCTGTTACTTGTTTTTAATCTTTTTATTTTAATCACAGAATCATGTTTTAATTTTTACTGTTTCACATTTTTGTCACATGTAATTTATCAATTCATCAGAAATCTCTTCTGTGTTCCATTGCCCTAGTGAAACTATTTCCTTAAAAAAAAAAACTTTGTCAAGAGTTATACTGCACTGTAAACCCATGAGATGACTTTCATATTAGTTTACTTTTTTAAGCTGTTATACTAAACAGCTAAAATATCCCATATTTCCTGGCTGCTTAGGTCTGAAATACTCTATATTATTAAGATTATAGAGTATTTTTTCTGGATCTTACTAAGGTGTACACTTTGTTAACATGTCCTGGGTGTGGTTGAACTAAAAGACAAATTAGATCTAGATATCTAAGATCATCGGCAATGTTTTAGAAGTATGTTATAGCTGTGGTCCTTCTGACTTCAGTTTTTTGGTTTATAAAGAATATGTATAATGCCTTCCTTACCAGAACTTCAAGTTTCCTATTAAGGTTTTTGTCAAAATATCTTATTCTTAATTTAACAGTTTTTCATGGAAAAAATATTTAACCAAATAGGTTGACCTTTTTATAGTTGAGTATAATCACTCTATTTTAAATATCTTAATGTGCCTTGTATTGCAGGACTAAAAAAGCATTTTTGCTTATATCCTATAGGTTGTGTATATGCTTTATATGAACTTTCTAGCAATGTTAAACATTTATTATGCTAAAATGACTTGAGAATAACACATCGGATTTTAAAGAGCAATTAGTAACTTTTACTTATCAGCAGTATGGTTCTTTTCCCCTTTGTTTAGATATGAAGTAAATTTTCAAGATGGTATTGAGTGTGGAGGTGCATACATTAAACTCCTAACAGACACTGATGATTTGATTCTGGTATGATATTTTAATATTTAAGAAAACCTTATTAAAGTTAGTATTTTTAAGGAGTAATTGACACAATTGAAAATTTTATTTTCAACTGAAATTGGAAAGAACTTTTGTCTTTTTCCAGCATGAGATTACATAGCTTTCATGGTTTGCCTACAAGTTTCATATAAAGCTAGGTTACTTGAAAGCATTATTTTTATAATCTTGAGCAAAGTAATAAAGTTTGCCCCATCTATAAATTTTAAAGTGATGTGCTTATAAATGCTTTTGAAATACCAATTTAGAATTCTTTATAAAATAAGAATCATAAGTTTGTTTAGAGAGGTAAAATAACCAGAGCAAAGAACTGAAATAAAGGTACCAGAGAACCAAATAAAAAGGTGGGCCAATTTAGGCATTGGCGCCCATAGAAAATAAAGAATTTTAAAAAACTTTTTATGATAAAGTACCCTTATAATACTAAAGATTGTATTAAGACCATTTGAAGGTTAGAGACATTTCTGTCAGCATTCTCCTGCAGTAGACTGTGTCAAGGTTTTGGCGTATAAGACAAATTAAATGAATGAGATGTCAGTGAGATGTCTGTCAGATCGCACAACTGTGCATAAGCTATGAAATGTGGATCAGAGTTGTCCTGGGTACTACTTACATTTAGGATCTGGTGAAAGGAAGCCGTTATGTTGAAGTTCTTGTTTTAGACGTAAAAAATGACCCCTTGAAGATAGAATGACAAAAAAAATCAATGCCAAACATTTCTTTAAGAACTTGATCTGATTGACTCATTTATTCCCCAGTGAAACCTTACAGGTAAATACTATTCTGTCCATACATGAGAGGTAACGAAATAGAGACAGAAAGAGGTTAAAATCTTACTTGGGGCCACATACAGCTAGTTTAAATGGCAGTGGTAGCATTTGGACTTCAGTAGCTAAGTTCATACCCCCAAACTCTTAACCACTGTTTGTGCCACATGGAGAGAAATTACTACTAAAACAGAGATTGGGTCTCTATGTCTACTTTTGTGTCGGAATCCCTTCATTTTTTACACAAAAGAGCAATTTTCTGGTGTCTTCTTGAAGAATAGTAATGAATAATCAGTTTAGTATTAAAGCAGTAAATATGCTTGTGCTTCTCAGTAAAATGGTAATGATACAGATTAACATAAGGTAAATAAAGATTTTTATGATGTTGCTAAAGTAATTTCAGCATCTGCATCTTCCAGAAGGAAGTAGTATATTTTTTGAAAAAATTTTTAAAAGTTAAAAGTATTATTTTCTCCACATCCTTTATTGTCACTTGTGTTAAATAGTTATTTGGAAAATTAGCATTTAATATAATTTATAAACTCTAGCCAATTGGATAGAATAGAGAAATTAATTAAATACTCTGTAATTCAGGACTAATACCTGCACTCATCTCTCTTTAAAGGAAAACTTTTATGATAAAACATCTTATACAATTATGTTTGGACCAGATAAATGCGGAGAAGATTATAAACTTCATTTTATCTTCAGACATAAACATCCTAAAACTGGAGTTTTTGAAGAGAAACATGCCAAACCACCAAATGTAGAGCTTAAAAACTTCTTTACAGACAGGAAGACTCATCTTTATACCCTTGGTATATTCTTTTAATTCACTCATTCATTCAAAAGTATATGCTGACTACAGATGTATTCAAGGCACATGCTTTGGGAGAAAATAAATATACATCTACTTTGAAGATGTTTATCTTTTTAGGAAAATAAGATGTTCATATATAGCGCAGGTAGAAAATGAAGCACCAGATGAGAGATACAGATGAGGTAGAGTTAAGAGTTCAGAGGCAGCATTACTTCCAGCTTGCACACTAGGAGAAAACCAGTGAAGACTATTTGAACTTGGCTTCAAGTGTAGATAGAATGTGGAAGATAGGAGGGGAAAGGACATGTTGGGCATCATGATAGTGGTGCTGTAAGAAGAGGACACTAGAAAATCAAGTTACAGAAGAAGTGCTACTAATTGCCAGTCAGAAACTTTCAGACTTTGTTCTGATTGTTGTGAGGTCTCCCTCATGGCCACGGCACATACCTAACCATAGAAAAACGTCAAGCAACTGTATGTTAACACCCATAGCTTTACTTAAGTAAACAAGAGGTTGCAAAGATGTAGGGGAGAAGAGCACCATAAGGGTTGTTTCTTCTGTTCCCAAGTACCTATTTATGTCTACAGGGCTCCAGTGTACACATAACAGCACAGCTGTGAGAACCTAGCAGGCCATTTCTCAAGTTTCAACTCTACCCAAGATTAAATAGCTTCTGTTTTCTTTCCAAAGCTTGTAGTTACAGAAATATTCCTTTTGTTTTTTCAAGTCAATGCCCAATTTTATCTCAAACATAGCTATGATATAAAAAATATGTTTCTGAAATAACTGGAAAGCAATCCTAGACAATTTGAGAAACACAAACTGTGGAAATAATGAGAAATTATAACTAGAATTGAATAAACTAATTTGACTGCCAAACCTGATCAAAAACAAATTAGTGGTATACAGTGTATCAGAGGCATAAGAGGTTTGATGACCTTTGAAACAAAAATTCCACTCTCAGGAATTTATTCAAAGAAAATAATCCAGAAGATGACCTATGTATGAAGATAATACTAAAAATTTGAAGCAGGAGTTTTCTGTATCATACAAAGATAACTTTAGCAACAAGGAAATGTTTATACAGGTTGAGCATAGTTTATTTGTAAGTCTAGGGTATTCGAAAACCCAAATTTTTTGTTTCCTGGTTGGCACTCAAAAGATTTCAGAGTATTTCAGATTTCTAAATTAGGAATGCTCAACCAATGAGGTATTTGCAAATCCCAGATGTGAAAGACAACATTGAAATCTGAAACAGTTCTGGTCCTGTGCATTTTGCAAAAATATTCCTCAACCTGATGTTAAAATGGAGAAAGTCTCAAACGGTAGGCCTATCATGATGGTTAATAGGGAAAATGAGCAAGCAAATAGGAAAAAGCTTGAAAAAAAAATTTCCCTTAATCAGTTGATACGTACCTTGGTCTGCACTAGACACTTTGTTTGGAACCATCATGTGAGCCTGAGCAGTAGCCTCTCTATTTGGTCTTACTCGAGTTAGTAGGATATCCTAGAAAGCAAGAAAAACTAGTAGGGCTGAAGCTCAAATTCAAGTCTGACTCTTGCTTTTATAAACACTAATCCTTTGTGCTAGGAATATTAATGTTTTTTAAAAATATGTAGTACTTTTTTTTATAACATTATGTAGTTTTAAAAAGAACCTTAAGTGTACCTTTACAAACTTTATATAATCTGAGGCTTTTCATTGTAGAGTCATTTAAAATATTTAATTCATTTTCTAAGTAGCAATTGTTTTTGCCAAAGATTTTGAGCAAAGGTTTTTCTTCACATATACATATTTGCCTTATGTATTTTAACTGTCGGTTTCAGAAATCAATTTCAGTTGCAAAATTTATTTAGGGAGCTTTTTCAGGATTTTTCTTGAAGAATGCCTTTTATTAATTAAAAAGGATACAGTAATTTTTTCTTATTCTGGATGTGCTTTAATCTTGACTTTTTCCCTTTGCTTTAGCTTTTAGTTTTATAATCTCAGCTATAATAGGAAATTGTGGATAAAAAAGAAGGGAAAATATTAAATGTGGGTTTGCATTATTTGTGTTTGATATGAATAGTTTGTCATTTTATGACTGAAACCTCGGGATTGTTAGTACTTCAGAGGTATTTCTTCAGAAAGTGCCCACTCCCTTCACTCTTTGAGACAGGGTGGTTCTTGAATTTGTTGACAGCTTCTTCTTTGAAAACAAGTATTAAGCAGCTGTTTTCATCATCATCTTTTTAAAAAACCTAAATTTTGCCTAGGCAGAAGAGAGATCTTTTCTTTTGTCATTACAAAGAATAAGGAGTCCTTCATGAAATTTTTGGCATGGGGACTTTTAGGAGATTATAATTTACCTGGAAACACATGGGTAAGTATAAGCTTGAATATTTAAAATTATCCTTAAGACATTTTACACTACAGTCATTAAATTTGAAATGCTCTTGAACTTTATCTTTTTTTTTTTTTTTTTATTTTTTTGTATTGGGGATCAAACTCGGGTCCTTGCACTTGTGAGCCAGGCGGCAGAATTACTGAGCTAAATCCCCGGCCCCATTAAACTTTAAAGATCTCAGAAATGATAGTAATATGTCAGAGTTAATATCCTGATTTTGGTGGCTAGATCGGTGTTTTTTGTTTGTTTAAGAGAATGTCCTTATTTGTAAAAATTATATGTTAAAACATTCAGAGGTGGTGTGTAATGGTAGTAATGTACTCAAGTGGTTCAGGAAAAAAATTGAGTTCTTTGCAGTGTACTTAAAACTTTTAAAGTTTGAGATTGTTTTTAAAAATTTAAAGATCCCAAAGAAGTCAGGCATGGTAACTCACACTTGTAATTCCAGCTACTCAAGAAGCTGAGGCAGAAGGATCACAAGTTTGAGGATACCCTGGACAACTTAGCGAGACTCTGTCTCAAAATAAAAAATAAATGATGTAGGTCAGTGGTAGAGCGCTTGCTTAGCCTGTGCAAGGCCCTGGGTTCTATCCCCAGTGCTGCTGAAAAAAAAAAAAAAAGAAAAGAAATCAGACATTGGGCTACAGACTGACTGGCCATGAGTCCCAAATAGAGTAACCTGTCGAGTATTTCCTATTTGAGAAGTAATGGTGCATTTTATTGTTTAAAATGCAATTTAAAACAAAATATTATTTTAAGAAGTCTCATATCTAGTTATTTCACCATATTTTCATTTATTTCATCTTATATTCCTTTATTACTGGTTGAAAAAAATTGTATCCATGAAGCTTGGGAAGTTTTATTATTTAGAAGATTAAGATAGAAGGTCCATAAAAATAAGTGTAAAATACTTGTTTTTCAGTAATGAATCCAGATGACACATTTGAAGTATTAATTGATCAAATAGTTGTAAACAAAGGAAGTCTCTTAGAAGACGTGGTTCCTCCTGTCAATCCTCCCAGAGAAATTGATGATCCTGATGATAAAAAACCTGATGAATGGGATGAAAGACTAAAAATCCCTGATCCTACTGCTGTCAAACCAGAAGATTGGTAAGCAAAGGATTTTTTTTGCAAAGTATTACATTTGTATTTGGAATAAATTATAACATACAAGTGAAGTTTACAACAATGTAACTTTTTCTTTTAAAAGAAGAACTATTTTACTATTCTGTGGGAAATACTTTTTTAAGATGGATTTTATGCTTCCCTATCTTTAAGTTTTTAAATTTTCATCTTAGTTAATATTTTTATTTTGTTATATGTGTTTTTTTTTAATTTTTTTGTTTTGTTTTGTTTTTCTCACAAATGTCAAGTTATATCAGTTTGGTTGAAGATAATGATTCCCGGCTTCTATATTTTTACTGTTTTTCAGTCTGTTCTTTTACCCATAAAAGTCTTACAATCTTCAACTTCAATTGTGGATTTGTCTTTGAGTTTTGTCAGATTTTGCTGCTTGTATTTCAAAGATCTGTTAGTAGATCCATTTGCAGTATTTAATAACCTCTTGAAGGACTGGCCCTTCGTTATTATAATGTATTTCTTTATGAATTCTTGTAACATCTTTGTCTTGAAGTCTGTTTAGTTTGACGCTAAGTCAGCGCTGCTGCTTTACATTAAATATTATTTTCCACTGCCCTCTGGCCTGTACACACCTTTAGTTTTCAAGTGACTTCTTCCAGGCAGCTTGTCCTTGGGTCTGTATTCTTAGTTAGAGTGTGAGCCACCACATTTAGTGTTATTCCTGATACAGTAGCTGTAAACCTATCTTCTCACTGCTTGTTTCCCATTTGCCCCATATGTTCTGTGATCCTTTGTTAAAACTTCTTTTGGTTGTATTCTTTCATTGTTATATTCCATTTTATTTTTTTCTTTTAGCTTAGAAGTGTTTCCTCTCTAGCTTACTGTTTTACTGGTTGCTGACAGTGTGTATTTGTAACTGATATCGGTGTACCTTCAAAAAAGTAATACAGCTTTCTTATAATTTAACCAACCCCCTTTGAGTCTCACCTTGTTCCTTGTATCCTTTGTGCTGCTTTCTTAATTCTGCCTGTACTCTGAAGGCCCTCCATACTTTTTCTTCACTCAGTCTTTCTGTCATACAAGGAGAAGATCCTTTTATTTATCCATGTATTCACCATATGTGGTACTCTTCTTCCTTTTTGGAAAATACAAATTTCCATCTGTTGTCATTTTCCTCTAGCCCAAAAAAACCTCCTTAATATGTGATGGTATGTCTGTTGTTATTAAATTCTCTTAACTTTTATCTGACATTTTCTTCTTTTGTCTTCATTTTTGGAAGGATATTTTCACTACCAACTAGAAGGGAATAATTATTTTTCAGCAAGCCCTTTTCTTGAGTGATTCAGTGTATCTTTTTTCAGTTTTTATTCTCAACTTTTTTCCTTTATCTAGTATATCATTTATTCTCAGTTGGCTTTTAAGTTTTATTATTGTCAGTTTTTCAGCTTTGACTTAGTTGAGCCTTGTGGTCTTCTTCATATTTTTACATGGCTTTGTGTCCTTTAAACTTCTTGAGACGTGAGTTTATAGTTCACATTAAATAATATTTAGCCATTATTTCTTCAATTATTCCTATGTTCCTCTGTTTCTTTTTGGGGAAGATTCCACCTACATGTATGTTAGATTGCTTTAGATCATCTTACAGATCACCAAGGATTTCTTTATTGTTTTTAAACCAGTTTTTCTCCTCATACTTCAGTTTGGAAAGTGTCCATTCCTGTCATTAAGTTCTTATTTGTAAACATCAGTAGTTAAGTACTGCCATCCAGAACACAGCGTGTGGTTCTGGAATACAACCAAAGATGTTGAGCTGTCACCTGTCTTATGGGTTAGAGGTACTGATTACAGTAACAGTGCTCTAGCTTTGAAGCAAAGAGTGCAACAGGGAAGTACCTTGAACAAGGTAGGGAGAGCAGTCTGATTTTAAAAGAAATTCATAAAAAATCACGTCATTGCATCATCTCCCTGCATTTATTCTGTCAGAAAAGGCTGAACTGCATCTCATGTAAATTAATATCACTTTATACTTGTTTATAAAGAGTAGGTTTGCCCTTAAATGCAAGGAATTGTAGGTTACAGCCCCTTCTGATGGGCAAAATCTATTAGATTTGTTTTATAAACTACTAAAAGGCTTCTTAAATTTTAACTTTTGGTTACTCTGAGCACTCAAGAGGTTCAGCCTAACCTTGATACATCTGTACATTTTAAGTCTGTACATTTATACAGTTGGCTCTTTCAATTTTAGAACTCAAGTTTTCTTTGGAAAGCTATGAAGAAGCCTCTTTGAATTTGTTGTTTTTCTCTAAAGAAACTATATTAGTTCTGTTCATTACTCACTGTAATTATATTCATATACTTTAGCATTTGCTTGATAAGTTAGAATTACATATAAAATCTTAAAAACTAGTGTAGGCAGTATCTTTTCAAATATGGCATAAAATCCAAGAACCATAAAAATATTAGTAATAAAAAACAAATGGTGCGTTGGAAACTGGATAAAGAAGATGTGGTTTTTCTATAAAATGGAATATTACTCAGCCATAAAGAACGAGAAAATAGATTCATTCATAGGAAAATGGATACATATTGAAGATATACTCCTAAGTGAAATAAATAAGTCGCACATGTGTAAATACCGAATAGTTTCTCTGGTGTGAATAATCTGCAATAATACATAAGGTCCTAATAAGATTACTGACATTTGGAAATGGGAAGAAAGGAGCTAAAGGTGTAGGGAAGGTGGGATGGGTAGGGGAAGGGTAATAAGGGAAAAGAAAAAATGTGAGATAATGAAAAGATGGAAATAAAGTGTTTGTAGATGGGGAGGGGAGGAGGGGGTGAAGGGAGGGCAGGGACAAGGGGAAAAAATGATAACCAAGACTTGTCATGTAGAGGTACAAGATCCCAACAATGAATGTAACTGTACTGTATCCCTAAAATGTACCAATAAACTCAAAGCTAAGAAAAACAAAAAACAAAACAAAAAAAAAAACCCAAATGGTGTGTATATGGCAAAAAACATAAAACTATATCAAAAACACACGAGAAGCTGGAAAATAGTATTTTAAATTTCCTTAGCTGACAGAGGGCTAAATTCGTCATATAAAGCTAATGAACTATCTGAAGAATGGTTTTTACGGATCACTTTACTGTTAAATATACACTGAAATATCACAAGAGTGAGATATCATTTTTCACCTACCAATTGGCAAAAGTAAAAGTTTGGTAACAGTCTGGCAATAATAGATAAAAATAAATATGGTTATGCACTGCTAGTTGGGCTGGAAATAAAGTATAGCCTTTTAAAGAGCAATTTGGAGAACATCAAAATTTTAAATGCACATATTCTTTTTGTTGGGGGGGGTACTGGGTATTGAACTCGGGTCCTTGTGCTTGCAAGGCAGGTGGCAGAACCACTGAGCTAAATCCCCAGCCCAAAATGCACATATTCTTATAGGTAAGAAATAACATGTTCTAAGATATTCACTATAACATTTATAATAGTTAAATTTTGGAAACACCATCTTCTTTAAAAAGAGATACCTAAATAAATTATCGTATATCCACAAAATGTAAAATTATACAACTGTTAATAATGGAGCAAAGCCAGACATGGTGGCTGTGAGTTCGAGACCAGCCCAGGCTACATAGTGAGTTCCAGGTCAGTCTCAACTACATAGTGAGACCCTGTCTCAAAAAAACAAAAAGAAAACAAAACAAAAAGGAGCAGATGTTGAGTGACTGAGTTTATAAGTGACAAAAGCAAGGTCTAATGGACTGCATACAGAATGCTGTCATTTGTGTAAATATACACATAGGGGGCTGGGGATTTAACTCAGTGGTGCCGCCACCTGCTTCACAAGTATAAGGTCCCGAGTTTGATCCCTGGTACCAAAAAACAAAAAAAGAATACACATAGGTGTATGTACGCATGGAATTCCACAGGGAGTGTATACAAAAAAATGCCAGGTTAACAGAAGCCTTGGCTGAAATAGATGCAGGGAAAGGTTACGTACAAATACAATAACAGTATGCTTACTACCTTTCTGTGTCTTACAAATTTTGTAGCACAGGCATTTTATAACTTTTTGAACAGTTTTTATGTTGTGGTATTGGGGATTGAACCCAGGGCCCTTGCACTGAACTTCACCCCAGCCCTCCTCCTTTTTTTTTAAGTCTGAGTCTCCCTGCATTGACCAGGCTAGAATCAAATTTGTGATCTTCTCCTGCCTTGGCTTCCCACCCCACTCAGCTTGAATACTAATTAATTAACGTAAAATGTATTATAGGGATGAAGACGAACCTGCCCTAGTAGAAGACTCAGGTGTGGTTAAACCCGACGGTTGGCTTGATAATGAACCAAAATTTATCCCTAATCCTAGTGCCGAAAAACCTGATGATTGGTGAGCATTCTTCACCTTCAAATGTCATTATTCCTTACTTGCTTTTTGTGACTAGCTTTTATGGCCGACAGGAGAGACTTGCAGTCATTGTATTTGCTTTATTGTGGTCTCTTAAGGAATGAAGATATGAATGGTGAATGGAAGGCACCTCATATCCCTAATCCAGCATGTCGGATTGGATGTGGTGAGTGGAAACCTCCTCTGATAGATAACCCAAAATACAAAGGAGTGTGGAAACCGCCAATGATCCAAAATCCTAACTACCAGGTAATAACCAGTTGTTCCAAGTCCTATGGAAGTTAAAATTCTGTGCTATTTTGTCCTATCTATCTAATTATGAGTAATATTATGTTGTTGCTTTAGATGTTTGATTAAAAAATTCTATGAAGTGAAAGAAAATAGACCTCAGCTAATTTACAGTTAAAAAGGGAAGCATTGTTTATATCATATTCTAGGATAACAAAATTAAGAGCTGAAAATAAATCATTTTATACCATGTTCTTTTCTAATGATGCTTGTGTGGGATAGAATTGGTTTTAGAGGAAGGTGACATATCAACTTTGTGGAACCTATTATAATAAATGCTCACATTCCTCTGCTTCACATGATAGTGGAAGTAACACTAAAGAAAAGTCCTCCAAAGTGATTTCAAGTCAGTGACCTTGTAGGTACAGCTCAGTAATGAATACACTGAGAACTCCACAGCTCAGCCTGTTTCCACAAAAGTTGGTCAATATTTTGCTTTAGCCCTAAACTATATGCTATTATGGAAATAAGTTTATTGTCTTAGTAAATTAGTGAGTCAGTGGTTTTGCAGATAAAAGTATTTAGTCATTAAGGAGTAAACTTAGTATTTTAAAAATGTATATTTCCATTATTTGGAAGAAAAATGTGAGATTCTGAATTACTGAAAAATTGATGAAATCTGACAATTGAATGTATAACATACACTGTAATACAGATGAATGCCGGTACATTTTATTTCCAGCACTGGGGATTGAACTTGGGACCTTTCACTTACCAATCAGGTGCCAGCACCACTGAGCTAAATCCCCAGCCCTCAGTACATTTACTTAGCATATATATTTTTTATTCTATCTTAACTGAGCCTGCAAACTGTGTTCATGGATGGTACGTCACACAGTGGAATAGTAGTTCTCATATCAGCACTTTGGAGATTATAGGTCCATATCAGTGGTGGTGAACCCATGGCACACTTGCCACAGCAGGCTCTCTGTTACCATTGAAAGCTCTGCAAGGTTTGCCAGATGATGGCTGTCTGTACGGCCTTTCAGGAGAAAGAACTTTAGGTATTTGTTCACTGCTCTTTACTGTGGCTTTGGAGAAAATCTCAGTGCTGGTCTAGTACCCAAGGGAAGTGCAGAATAACTGATTTGGCACTCCATAAATTACACAGGAAAAATATTGACACAAACGTACTGCCACACATACGCAGTCCTGCGTTGCCTGGCTAGTTGCTGGCAGTAATGCAAAATCTGAAATATATGCAGGACTACATAAAGCTCTCCAAAGAGGCTAAAGTGTTAGAGCTAAAATGCACTGCTTAGAGCTGATAGCTATAACATTACAATAAGACATACAGGATTTAGTTAGAAAACACTGGCATTTATATATAGTATTTAAAATTTTCTCAAACTTAATTTCTACACCAAAGCTTTAATGATCATATTAAAGTGGACTTAATAATATCCTGGAGACTAATAATATTGTATACACTTTGCAAAATCCTTTACCCTACCCCAGAATTCATGTGTACTTTTTTGGGTTTTTTTTGCTTTTATTCCTAATTTCTTACCCAACTGGACCAGAAGATCAATTTTCCTTATTTTCTTTCCTGTTCTTCTCTGAAAACCACCTTTTCCTTCCCCAGAGACAATGTGAAATGTAATCTAGTCATTCATTTGTCTCCTGGGAACTTTCGATACAAATCTGTTTTTTTATAAGTTTAGAAATAGTTTGGTGATAAAAGGTACTATGTTACTGAAATGTGTTCTTGTATAAAGTTCTGTATTGGAGATAAATATAAGAAATTTTGATCAAGAGAACTCAGATTATACATTTTAAAAATTAGTACTTAACGTACTTGTATTTTAGCATTATTAAAGTTCAGAATGTTTAAAATATGAATCAGACATATTTTTAGTATATCTACATTAAAAGTTCCCATGTTCATTTAACTATCTAGTTTCACTGTTATAATTATTGCCATTTTATAATGTATGCATGGAGCTACATATTCTAATCACTGTAGTTTTTCTTTGAAGTGCTTACCATAAAATGTTTCCTTTGGTAATGATTTTGCTTAATGTATATCTTTCTCATAACACTTTAAACCCCATATTATAGGAACAGGGTGATCAACTTCATAACCCTGGTATCTAGCACAGTACCTAGCCCAGAATAGATATGTGTGAGGGTGGAGTGAGTCAGTGAGTAAGCAGGCTATTGAATCCCTCATGATGGACAGGATAGCCATTTAAAGATCTAATGGGACTTTGATATTGAATAACTGGTCTGACTGATTAATTGTTCTGACTGATTAATGATGCCTGTCATGCATATATCAAGAGAAAGAGTTCCATTTTTGCCATTTAATGATCTTTCTGATTTAGGCAAATTGAACATCTCGACCTGAATGACCTTAGGAAGTCTAAAAAAATTACCTAAAATAGTCACTTATGAAATTTACTCAGGTTTCTGTGTGTTCGATTTTCACTTTGCTTTTTTTGCAGTTAAAAGTCAGTATTACTCATAGAGAACACATGAACAGAATAAGAATAAGCAAGACTTTTTCCAATACATTATTTATTAATGAATTGATGTCATTTACAGTTTTGTTATTTTATTGCTAATTTCTTCAACAGCAGCTACTCTTTTTGAAACTCAGGTCCTTGCACTTGCAAGGCAGGCGGCAGGAGAACCACTGAGCTAAATTCCTGGCCCTGGCAGCTTCTTTCTGATCAGCATTTGCAATGAAATTATTTTATTTGAAAACGTCTTCAATTATTGTTTCTTTCAGGGAATCTGGAGTCCTCAAAAAATTCCTAATCCAGATTATTTCGAAGATGACCATCCATTTCTTCTGACTTCTTTCAGTGCTCTTGGTTTAGAGCTTTGGTCTATGACCTCTGAGATCTACTTCGATAATTTTATTATATGTTCAGAAAAAGAAGTAGCAGATCGCTGGGCTGAAGATAGCTGGAAATTAAAAGTATTGGTTGCAAATGCTAATGAGGTATGGTAGTGACCTTAGTGGTAGTAATGTAATCATGTACAGTAATGTTAGCACTTGGTTCTCTGATCGGTTGTGAGTTATATAAATTGCCCTGTTAATGGCAAATGTGCAATAATTACTAAATGCCAAGGAAATATAGTTGAATAAGTTTATTAGATAGAATATGTAGCTTTTGTATATTTTGATATTTAATTTAGACTATGTAACAATAGACATGTTATATTCAAACACATGCATATGTCTACTATTACTAAATTATGATGGCTTTAATGCCTTTATGTCATTATAGAAATAAGACTTAGTATCTTTGTCATCTTACCAACTCAAAGTCTAAGTATTAGCAATAAGCTGTACTAATTTTAAATACTCATTTAGGGAAAAACAAAGAATTAACATTATTAAATTGTGTTCTAGCTTTTTCCCCAAATCTTAAGACTATTTAGAAAAGACGAAGCTCGATATTTCAACACAGTGTATCTTTAAAATCAGTTAAGTGTAAAGAAAAAGTCATACCTTTTATTTGGTTTCTTTGGACACTAGGAACAACCATCAAAGGGTAGGTAAAAATGAATTTTTTGGTGGCCTTACAGTTTATTTTAATAAGAGAAACAGTTTCCTTAGTGAAGTCCATATGTGAAATCTGTTTATATAAAAAAGAAAAAAGAAAGCACAATAATTCTTAGGTGTAGTTTTATTATTAACTTCTTTGGAAGTACAGAATGAATTATCAGAGTTGTGTCCTTCTCGGCGAACCAGATGATATACCTATAAAAATAGTCACATTCCGGGAGTTAACCAAAAATAGTGTCATTATTGTGGCTGTTAAGCTAGGCATTTCCACATGCAATAGTGACGTACCTCCTCCTGCAGAGTCTTACTGAGTAAGCATGGTGATAATTATATTCTCCTTTACAAATGATAAGGTAGGAAAGTAGAAGATTTCTTTGATTACACTTCCATCAACTCTCTAATATCACATGTCTAGGTAAGATAACATACTTTTGGCAGGATGTGTTTCCAAATGGAGAGCTGTGAGAGATGAATTGCATGCTTGTGCTCATTTCTCCTGCAGCCCGGTGTGTGGAAGCAGTTAATGACGGCGGCTGAAGAGCACTCCTGGCTTTGGGCCATTCTCGTGATAGCAGGCCTTTCAGTAATATTACTTATTTCATTTTGTTGGCCAAGAAGAGTAAAGGTAAAATGAATTTCCTTCAGCTTGCTTTCTCAAATTTGTTAGTGTTGAGTTCTACGATTTAGCAAGTTATTCTTCAACATGATAAATTTCCTATAATTTTTATTGATAGTTTACCATATGTATTATCAGTCATTACAAAGAACTTTAGAAAAGTGTTTTGCTTTTAGTAAAAATAACTTATGTTAAACTACTGCAGAAAAAACATGAAGACACAGGGTATAAGAAAGGGGCCATATGTAAACCACAAACAAAGGGAGCACTAGAGGAAGACGTGAAGGAAGAAAAAGAAGCCCTGGAGAAGCCAGTGGACTTGCAGGAGGAAAACAAACAAAGCGATGGTGAAATTCTTGAAAAAGGTATTGGGATTATGATTTATGGTTTATTTATGAGCCATGAGCCTGGATGAGGCTCATAAAAAGTGTAAATAACCAGCTGTTGCACTTGCCCATTATTAGATTTATACATCTGCATTCCAAAGGACACGTGATTATGGCAGTGAGGAGTGGAAGTCCTGTCTTCAGCCACTCTGTTCACAGTCCATTCCCCCTCCTGGTGAGAGAGATTAGCCTAGCCGTTATGAATCATGTGCCACAGCTCTGTGCAAGGACACTGCTTGACTCCTAAGAATTTGACCCAGCTATTCCCTTGCTGGGTTTAATCTGAAAAGAATTAAAAGAATCACATCACAGTGATATAGGCTCACCCATGTTTATATTGGCACAGTTTAAAATAGCTAAAAGTTGGAAACAGCCCAATTGCCCATCAACTGGAGACTGATAAAGAAGATGTGTGTTTTTTTATAAAAGGGAGTACTACTCAGCCATAAAGAATGAGAAACAAGACAGTTACAGCTAAGTGGATGCACAGTGAGGCCATACTCTTAGGTGAAATAAACAGGACACTCGTGTAAATACCGAATAGTTGTCTCTAGTGTGAAAAACTGAAAGTGTAAATAAGGATCAAAATGTAGAATAGATAATGTGAACTAGGAAGAAAAGGTCCAAAGGGGAAGGGGAAGTGGGAGGGGTAGGGGAAAGGAAAGAAGGGAAAGAAATACGAGAAAAGGAAAAAACGGAAACAGTCTTTGTAAATAGAAAGGGGTGGAGGGGAAGAAAAAGAATAACGATGAAAAGCAAGGTATATATTTTGACCTTTGTAGAAGAAGAAGAGGTATAAAGCACATGATTACAGCAATAAAACGATTATTAGCTTTTCTTCCAGTGGCTGTTATCAGATAGTTTATCATATAGAATAGTTTCCTGAAGGTATTGCTAAATCCTAAATCCCCTTCCCACTCTGCACAGAGCTTCTGAAGATGTTACAACTTAGGGGGATGAGGTGGTTTGGTGGCTCTCAGTTGAGACCTCCTTATTCACATCTAGGTAGAAATAATATTAATGTAATGGTACCAAGTGTCCCAAGCCAAACTCCAGATTAAGCAACAGATGACTTTAACAACTGATGTCTTGAACTATTGTTTTCAACTTCATACTTGATGAAAGAGTAGACTTAAAATCTAGGCTCTTTTTAAAAAACACACACATATATATTTACAAATATATACCGATGCGCACACACCCTTGAAATAATTAGTTGTTGCACTTCCTTATCATAAGGCGTGGGTGTGTCTATGTCTGGATCTAAAACAAACTCTTTACATTGTAAGTTCTCAGAGTTTTACATTGGTGCTTTGGTCAGCCTTAGAAGGTGTTTATGCGTTGCTCATACTGGAATATTTATGTAGCAGAAGGGTCTTATTTTGTGAAGTACATGTACATTGCCACACTGTGCCTGTGGAAGTACATGGGAGTGCAGAGGTGATTGTTGATTTTCCTTTCCCCAAACTCAATTTGCTTTTACTTTGTATGGTTTTTTACTATATATAGTTCCTAGGAGTTTTTATTTTATATAGTTCTGAAGGGACGCTTTATGTTTTGATATAATGGTGGTAACAAAGTTGGAGGATGGGTTAAATGGAATCCATAATGGAGTCGATAGATGAAAAAAATTGGTAGTAGTGTCTGTCCGCAGAGTTATAAACAAATAGCATGTTGAATACAAAGATCACCAAAAATTAAGGGAAGTAACCCTACAACATAAACTCAAAAAAATGGTAATTCTTTGGTTTCCATTTTGCATATAGGACTCTACACTTGTCCTTTGCCTCAAGTAGGATGATTTATTTATAAAAAGTGGTAGAATTGTCAGTTTTTACATTTTTAAAATTTTGAAAGGCAAAAATTGATTTTAATTTTTCAAATTCAAATAAGTCCCCTTGATTGTATTTTGTCAGCAGCAGAATTCTCATTCATTGAGTTTTGTCTTTAATAAACTCTGTATTCTAGAGGAGGAAAGTGAGCCTGAGCAAAAGAGTGAAGAAGCTGATGTCATAGAAGGGCAAGAAGAGGAGAATAAATCAAATAAGTCTGGATCAGAGGATGAGGTAACCAAAGTTCTATGAGCAATTATTATCCATAAAATATTACTTCAGTAAAAGCAGCAATCTTGTGAAGGAATTTTTGCCATACTCTTCCCAGCTTTCATAAAAGCTTCAGTTATTGTTTTTCATACATATTGATAAAAAAGGCAAAAAGGGGGCTGGGGATTTAACTCAGTGTTTCCATCGCCTGCCTGGCAAGCGCAAGGACCCGAGTTCGATCCCTGATACCAAAAAAAAAAGAAGGCATAAAGACTGATTTATATCTTAATGCCCAGTAAGACAGTAGGTTAAGCCCATCATTTACAAAATGTAAAGATAGAACTATGTCTGTAAAAAGTTAACATTAGAAAGTATAATCAGATCATTTCAACATTTAAAACATCTTTATGACAAGATAATTTTTGTATAGCTTTTGTGAAAACATTCTAATTGTCTCGGTATGTTGCTGTTAAGTTCTGAAATATTTCATTCACGAATAATGGAGTACTGTCTTCCTGATAGTTTTCATTTTCTCAGATCTAATGAACAAGGGCTTTTTTCTGTTAACTTCATGTCTGCCTCGTTTTGTATCCTCACATACAGTGGAACTTCCATGACCCTTTTGCTTTAGCCAGATTTCATAGAATCCAATCATCTAGTGTGTAACTGAAAACCAGAGCTGTTTTACCTAATGTAAATCAAAAGCTTGTGTTCTCTACTTCTGTAAGCCCTTTAAGAGCTGCCCTTCCCTACAGTCTGCAGCCCACCCTGCTGCCTGTGAATGAAGGTGGGGTGAAAGTGTACCTCTGCCTGGCCTGTCGCCTGGTATGGATTGTACTTTATCTATTTGAAGAGATCTGTTTGAATGTTTTCTAAGGGTTTTTCAGTATATCTACCTCGTTACTGGTCTTTCCTCCCTGTAAGTTTTTAAAGGGACATTGGGAAATATTTTCTAGGATGAATGTCCATATTTATGGGAGCTAGGTAAAACTCATGTCTTCCAGAGCAAGTTTTTGAAACAATTATTGTTTCAGCTGTGAAGTTCTTAATATATACTTGCAGTCATTTACTCAAATATATCTAATAATATTTGTTTCACAAAATATTTTGTGTATTTCTAAAAGTATCTTAATTCCATCTTCCAATGCTTTAGTCTTTTTTTTTGGTAACAGGAATCGAACTAGGGACCTTACACTTGTGAAACAGGTGGCAGAACCACTGAGCTAAATCCCCAACCCCAAGCTTTTAGTCTTCTTACATATTTTTGCCAGTTAGCAAGTCAATTTTTGTGTAGTATAGCCTTTACAATTTATAATAACTTTATTTTGTATAATATCATACAACAGCTTCATTATTTTCTTTTCTTCCAAAACTTTAATTCATGTACAAACACATTCTGGAAGGATAAGTATTAAAGAAAAGAAAAATCTCAGGACATAAATTTGACATTTCCTTTTCTGTTCATCTCTTCTAATTGCTCTGGAGGTATTGTGTACCAGCAGTTCTGAAAAGTCTATAAACAGCTCACCAATACATTACAGAAGTATTGGGATGAATAATCAGCATTTATCATCCCACAATGAATGTATTACATCACCATTAAATATGACAATGAAACCAAATTCTAAGTCATAAATAAAATGTCTGAATGGAGTTGTTAGTGTGTTCTTTGTCAGTGTTTATCCGATGAGGATGGTTAGTCTAAAAATGTAATCGTGCCAATTATGAACAAATGAAAACAGATCAATTTATATACATATTCTTGACCAGCTGCATGAAGGGACATGCATAAGATAGCATTCAATCATTAAAACATGTATCTCAGAGAATAATCCTATGTACTCTCATTTCTTGAATTCTTTTTTTCTAGATGAAAGAAGCAGATGAAAGCACAGGATCTGGAGATGGACCAATAAAGTCACTACGCAAAAGGAAAGTACGAAAGGAATAAACTCTATTCAAGTATTTCATTTCCTGAGAGAGAATTCTAAAGTCCTTGTGCCAGAACTGACCTGGAATCAACCTGCACATCCTGCTTATAAATATCTAGCAATGTTATTCTTTCAGATATTTAGTCTTTTTGGGGGGAAAAAATGTAACTTTGAAGTCACATCTTCTTTGAATTTGGAATTAATTTTTAAAAGTGGCAAGTTACATATCAGATTTATGAGACTGATATTATTAGATGTTACAATTTTAATAGTTGGAAGACAGTTTAGGTTTGTACCAAGCAACCTTACTGCTGCTGTTGGAAAAGTCAGTTATTGGAATTTCCACTTAAATGGCTACAACAAGACTAAGTGGTGGTTTTATAATAAAAATGAGAGTGTGTTCTGTTGTACAGATCTAACAGCAATAAACTTTCTTGTGGTTGTTTAATTATTTCAGCAATTGAAAGTGTTGTATGTGACCCAATTTGTGTCGAATTATAGTTAAGGACAGTTGTTTGTTTAAATCATAGATTCTTTTAAAGAGGCAATGTGGTGACAAAACATTAGTAAAATGTCTGCCACTCAGTTTACACAGTATTTTACATTGGAATACAACAAAAATAGGCTTATGATGTACAAATTTTCTCTGAGTTTTTATAATTATTTCTCGCCAGAGGCGTTTGTGCCATTCACAAAATTGCTTGTGCATTCATGGTTCTTGAAAATAAAAATTACATATTTTTACACTTTATACCCTATTTAACAGGTAGATTATTATTGACAAGTCTTTATTTTTCTTTATTTATTACTGTGACACTCCAACAGCTAATATCAGTGCTTTGTAATTTTTATCTTGTTTTTTCCTGGACAAATTCAAAGTTGTCTGTGAGGTGGATGGGAGTAGTTAATGCTCCTCTTGTTAGAGAAGTTACCTGAAGTTCCTGAACTACCTTATAAGGAAACTGTGTTGTTCCACTTAGAATCTTTTATTGAATGATTTTATGTTCAAATAACAAGTATAGGGGATTTAAATCTTTGAAATCACGGAACCACTTTAATACTAAATATCTGGGAAAAAACCCAGATTATACTAGAGTTGAATGAAAGTTTGGATCCCTTGCTGGTCCTGCAGCCATCTCTGGACTAGCCCCGACCCAGTTCTCTTACATCTCCCTCCACGGGTACCTGTTAGACCTCGAGGCTCTAGCTTTTTTACTACAGAAGTGAAGCCCAGCCAGGAAGACTATTCTCTTCCTACGTCAGAGAGAGAATTAAAAAACACAAGTCAGTGCTTTTCTCCACTGCCACATTCTACCTATAAATTGGTGGTGGAAATCTTAAGGCACAGCTAACCATAATTTGTATTTATTTAATACTAACTGAACTGAACAGGTCCTCCAGGGATTCCCACTCTAGCTTTGATCTAGACATACTGAGTAGTTCTGTTCTATTGTTTTAATTTTTGGTATTGGGGATCGAACTTGGGTCCTTGCACTTGTGAGGCAGGCAGCGGAACCACTGAGCTAAATCCCTGACCCCTATACTGAGTAGTTCTGTTCTATTGTTTTAATTTTTGGTATTGGGGATCGAACTTGGGTCCTTGCACTTGTGAGGCAGGCAGCGGAACCACTGAGCTAAATCCCTGACCCCTATACTGAGTAGTTCTAAATAAGAATATTTTTCAAAGTATACAGTTCCTTCTGAAGATAAATTCTGTCTTAACTACAAAAAACCTTGCCCAGCAAGTGTCTTTTATGTGTGAACATTTTTTTCTAAATATTGACTAAAACTGTTTTTACTTTTTTAGTTGTAGAATCACTTTAACCTGAACATCTGGCTAAAAACTCCAGGAGCTTGAAGTGGTAAAATCTGAGCAGTTTTTTTGTTTGTTTGTTTGTTTTTGGTACCGGGGATTGAACTTGGAACCTTGCACTTGTGAGGCAGGCGGCAGAACCACTGAGCCAAATTCCTGGCCCTGAGCATTCAGTTTTGCCAAGTTACTGCTAATTCCCAAGCATATTCCTCTCAGTAGGAGTACCATGGCAGATAAGTTTACAAAACTAAAATGCTTATGAGCATATGTAAAAGATGTATACAGTAGACAAAACAGAATTTTAATAACTAAATCCCCTTTTCCTGTCTGTTAATCTAACTTTATTATTTTAAATGTCTTAAATATTATCTTTTTCTCTGGTAAGGGAAAAAATAAGTGTATTTTACTTTTATTTTAGTTGTCCTATTATTACATGCTTTTTTAACTTCACAGGCTAAAGTAACTTGTTTTCTTGACAGTGTTTTTCAGCTAACCCTATGTTCATTGACCGTTTCTCTAGGAGGACATTACATTGGTAGTTTTTTTGAGTGTCAGTTCCCAAGTAGAGGAGACACAGGATGGAACTGCTTATGTGTTACAGTGAACCACTAACAGTGAATTTAATGGATCATCAAAACCTAGAGTTCTAATCCAAAAATAGTTTTGTTTTCAGTAAGAATTATTCAAAAAAAACTAATCTCTAGGCACTTGTGAACAGCTTTTGGTTCTCTTTCCAGTTTGGGCTATATTTTTGTTACTGTTGGTTTTTTGATTCCTTTGCGCTTGCGAGGCAGGCAGTTGGCACCACTGAGCTAAATCCCTGGCCCCTGGGCTATATGTTTTAACTATAGCGGGATTGATAGATAAAATATCAGGTGGCTAAGAAAGGCACTTAGATCTTTTCCATAGGTGATTTATCAAAACTTAGTGGTATTAAACCATAAATTTCAATAATTTTCCCCACACTATATTGCTCTCATATATGCATTTTCATCCTGTGGCCCCGTAAGTGTTTAGGAAATCTGATAGATCAGATGGGGCAGTTGATGAGAGAGATGCACTTGGAAACATTTGGAGTTTGTCTCTGGAGAGCCCAGTGCGCAGAGAGTAAGAGTTGTTTTGATGATGGCCCCAGGAAAACTGGAAGATGACCTAACATCACATAGTTTGCATTTGTTAAATGGTAGAAATATTCTGTGAAATTTGGGGTTATTTTCAAGTTTTAATAATGCACTTGCTAAGCTATTTATTATACGTAAGAAATTTAAAGATAAATGCATGATGGAACTGACCACAAGGTATGACTTCAGCTCTGTCATCGCTCCTCAACACTGCCCTTTAGTGTAAGGTCATTTACATCCTGGGGCCAACATAAAGTTCTTGCTATGTAAGTCCTTCTCTTTTCAATAATATTACTCTTTAATTTTAGTGAAATAAACCATTCAGAGCTGGTTTACTCGACAAAGTAGTTAAGAGGCAATTAAGTCATTCTTGCTTCCAATTCTTAATCTTTCATGTAATCAGTCTGTTCTTTCCTGATTTACAAGTGGTCTTAATTTCTGGTGTTCACTGGTAATTTTGGTGATGTCAACAATGAAAAAGTGTCTGGTGACAATTACTAGAGGCTGCTAAGGTAGGAAAAACAAAATTATTGCAAAATAAAAGTTTTACATTATAAGAAATTAAGGTTTTTTTTGCTTTAAACCTTAAAATTAATTTTAGGATTCTATAATTCAACTCTTCCTTTTATGAGGAGAGAATTTGGGGCAGGAATAAAGATGCAACATTATTTTAACTGGTGGGAAAATGCTTACATGACTGATTGCTTTTCTACAAAAAGCTTTGTTGCTACAATTCCAAAATCCAAAAATCTCTGCAAAGTGCAGTTTTTCAAAAAAATTCATTAGTACATGTTTGCAATATACAGTGGTTACATTGGGCTTAGGGTATGGATTTACATGTATATATCTTTTCTTGATTTTTACTCCACCTGCGCTACTCCTTCCCCAAACCTCTTCCCATCTCTACAGTCTCCCTCCTTTCTTACCGTGTCTCTTTATTCTGCTCTTTGTTTTAGGGGCCTCTCAAACTAAAGCAATCATGCAATATTTAATCTTTTGTGTCTGACTTGTTTAACTTAAGTGTTATGTTCTCAAATCCTTCCATTTTCTTTTCTTTTTTTTTGAGACAGAGTCTCACTATGTAGTTCAGACTGCTCTGGAACTCAACTATGTAGCCCAGGCTGGTCTCTAACTCACAGCAATCCTCCTGCCTCAGCCTCCCCAGTGCTGGGATTACAGGCATGCACCACCACGCCTGGCTCATCAAATCCTTCCATTTTCTTTTCTTTTTTTTTGAGACAGAATCTTACTATGTAGTTCAGACTGCTCTGGAACTCAACTATGTAGCCCAGGCTGGTCTCTAACTCACAGCAATCCTCCTGCCTCAGCCTCCCCAGTGCTGGGATTACAGGCATGCACCACCACGCCTGGCTCATCAAATCCTTCCATTTTCTTACAAATGACTCAAATTTATCTTTATGGCTAAGCAAAAGGAAACTTTTTTTCATGAGTTTGGCACTAAACGTGACCTCCTGCGTGGTCTTTTATGTATGCTGTATAGCCTTTCTTCATCCCACTTAATACTTGCAGATTTTGCTGCAGAAGTTTTTTTTATTATAGCTGCTGCCCCAAACCATGCTGGTGTACCAGTTGTCATACTGCATAAAAATTGAAAAACAGTAAGTTTTGAATCAAGTTCCAGATAAGGGACTGTGATCTGTAGTAATTCGCTGTTAAGTAATGTCCAAAGGGAATATAACGGAGCAAATTTTGGATGAAATGGCAGTGTCAGTATTGAGGGAAGTCCCACCAGGGCAAAGGTGTGCCTGTAATCTGTACAAGCTGCTGTAACAAAATACCATAGAATGGTGGCTTGGAAACAACATGAGTTTCTTGGAGGCTGGAAGCAACATCAGATTGAGTTCTGGTGAAGCTCTCTTCCTGGCTGCAGACTGCTGTCTTCTGTCATCTTTTTTATTAGGGCACTAATCATGGTCTTGATTCATGCTCTAATTATCTCCCTAAGAGGTCCTCATTATTACATGTTAGAATTTCAATGTATGAGTTTTGGTGCATAACTAGTATGATGGTTTTCCTTGCATTCCTTCCACCAGCATGCTTAGATAGTATTTAAAAATATTCTGACACTTACTAAAAATTATTTTGATACGACTTCAGTACTGTTGCAATAAATGTCAAGACTGTCATAACTGGGGAGAAATTAGGCACATTTACAGCACACTGAGTGAGCAGTCAGGTTGTCACTGAGTGGAGTATTCCTAAGAGAAAGGATCAAGGTGAGATTCTTGCTGAAGGTAGGCCAGGCTGATGAGATATGGTGGGTAAGGGATTCCAGAGTGACAGCTACTGAGGACGGGAGAATCCTCTACACTGGGTTAGCAGGATTTTTGGTAAAACTGGACTATGCAGAGTGAAGATAGCCTCAAGATGATGTAGTTGAAGAAAGGGCTGTAAAGCCTGTATAAAATTTAGTCAAGAAGCATTTTTGTCAGAAGCTAGGCATTCCCTGTGCACACTTGCCACCCATATTTCCAATACAGAAATGATATTCTGAAAGGGGGCATTGTTACGAAGACTAAGAGCGTAGTATTTGCTTATTCACATGACAAGCAGGTGGGGCATATTATTTCAGACAATATTTTTGTCACCGATTAGGCTGATAGTACTAGGCGAAGCAGCTGAAAAAAGTCAGAATGTTAAATGGATTAGTTGTTCCTTGCTCTTTTAACAAGGTTTCACAAAATGTACTCAGCAGTTTTCAGGCAGAGAGGGAAGGGAATAAAGTTCATATACCAGAAACCTCAAAGAATTAGAAAAGCCAATTTGCTTCTAATAGCAGAAAAGGTTCAAAACTTCCTTATTTTCAGGCATAGGACCTAGAGAGGAAGCCTATTAAACCATTCTGCCAATTGTTGAGCTCAACAAAGGGCCCCAGCCATGTAGCAGTAATCTGGCTGCAGCACTCACTTGCAGTCTTATTTTCAGCTGGTCTTACAAGAGCTCCTCATTAATGAGAGGCAGGGTTGTGAGGAAACAGATACTTTGAGAGTCTGGTCTAGAAAAGGTTTAGTTGTGATTCCTGACATACAGAACTCAGAAGCATATAAAAATGCAGGAGTGTTTTAAGAAATTGTACTGCAAAAGAAATGGCAATTTGGCTTTAAAATGATGGGCAGCAAACTCATACCAGCAATTACTTCATGGAAGGAACACTCCCAACCTCTCCTTCAGAGGTGGCCATTGGGAAAAATGAAAATGGAATTACTTTTCAGAAGGGAAGCTACGAAGGTCAATGTCGATACCAGGGGAAGAATTTTCGTAAGGTCTTCAAGGAGCATTCCACACGAGTGTTTCTCTTTATCCCATTTTCTTGTTCTTTTTGGTACCGGGGATCCAATGTTGGACCTTGCACTTGCGAGGCAGGCAGCAGAACCACTGAGATAAATCCCTGGCCCTCACCTTATCCCCTTTTCTAAATTGAGAGTACTACGTTGTAAAGTTGTAAATCAGGGACAACCACTGGTAAGTTGCCTTCTAGTTTAGAGATTAAACCATTAAAAGCTTACAACTAAATTAGTGGATGGACGTTAATAGAGATCCTGGATTTTGAGCTAAATGGATGACTGGATAAGGAGTACTTCCTGAGGGAAGGTTATAAACAGATACTTAGTGGCAAGAAAAGGCCATGCCTAAGGCTACTAGTGGCCAACAAAATCATTCACCTGCTTCCAGGAGTAAAGTTGTAGCTAGAACAGGGCTTCGCAGGCAAGGGACTGTATTTCTCAGCCGGCTCCTCTAGATATAACCAAGTCTCCACACAGTTGGAACGCAAGGAGACATAGCCATTTCGAGGTCCAGCTGAAACAACCTGGCTATACATGCATTTCCGTGCTCTCTCGTGCAAAGTAGAATAGTAGTGAGTAGAGTGAATTAGAAAGCGCAGTTGAACAAGGCAGAGCCATCTTCAATAACTGTGGCTCACTGCAGCAAAGCCAACTAGCATGTAACGTTCACCTCAGAACAACTGCTGGGGAGAAGCTTCTGTGTTTCATAGTCCGTACCACTGGGCCTCGTGTTACAGTAGCTAACCTAAAAGAACAGAACCTACCTTCCCCTAGAGATCTTTCCTCCCTTTTTTTTAATACTACTTATGTTTTAACCGATGTATAATACCCTGTAATATTTGTATTAATAAAAACATTATTTCCCTAAAGGTTCAGAACCAGGTACTTAAATAAGATACTCTGTTTTCCCTGTAGCACTGAACCCCAATATACCACTACCCCTCCCTATCACCCCATTTACTTAGGCAACTATATCAAAATGCACACAATCTCTGAAACAGCTTTTTATTAAACAGCAAAGCAGAACTGCAACACTTAAATATTTGTAAGTTCGGTCACAAAAGGGATGCAAAATGTCTGCAGTAAGACTATTACATATTCATACAACTAAAGTCATTCATCAAATCTTACACTGATAGATAAGATTACTCCATTGATTAAAAGTAGCTCAAATCTAGTAACCATAAGCTATATTAGTAGATAGATCTCTTTTCCTATTATAACATTTTAATATTTCTTTTGATATTCCTTTAAATGAAATCTACAAACTAAATTTTTTAAAATTGTTAAATAACCAAATCTCCAAAAACTAGTTGAATTTACAGAAAATTCTGGGAGAACAAATGAGACAAAATACTGAATAAGGTTACAATTATCACAGTAAAAACCTCCCATTTATTCATGAATGACACTAATACATTCTCAAGAAATTTTGCAGAAGTTGACTTGCTAGGAACTACAAACAAATCTTGAGGCATAACTGGCCTCTCTAACGTGGCTTACATAAGGCCAGTTGAACTTAATCCACTTTAAAACATATTCTTCAAAAGATCTACTCTGTCAGAGAAAACACAAACTTGGAGTGAAAACATTCGGAGTTGGTTAATACTTTTTACTGAATTTTCTACCCTGTTTCTATTTTCCCTCAAGATTTTTTTATTTTAAACTTTTAACACACGTAACCAGAATCCTTATCTTTTCAGATATCAACTGGGTCATTTTGTGCAAAAGGAAGTTTTAAACAAATTTTCCCAATAAGACAGTTCAGTTTTAAAGAGAAATTTCATTTTTATAGCCTCAATCTGTTTTTAAGTGATTAAAGAGAAATAAGCAATCCTAACTTATTATTAAATATCACAAATGACAAGCCCTAACGGAGAAAGTATCTTATTTTGGTTAAGTTGCAAGAATTAGAGCTCAGGTTACTCTTATAGGTGATGAACTATTCCAAGTAATTTTACAAATGTGAAACCATTGTTTTTCTTAGGGGAAACGGGGAGGGAGGAAGAGGCAAATGGAGAAGAGGCACAAGATGGTGGGCACGGTACATAAAGCTGTGCATTCAGTACATGATTTTGGTCACTTTTTCACAACACGGTGGTTATTTTCTGGTTTATCTTACTAAGCCTATAATAAAAGACAGTGCTAAACCTATATATCAAAGCAAATTTGATAAAACATCTTCAAGTTTCATAAATATATGCAATTCTAATTATAAAGTCTCTACAATACATTTGCACATTTTCAGACTAACATAATACACAAATTCATGGAAGTCTTCTGTTACGCAGTTAATTTTGCCTAGGCCTGACATTATCTTCATAAATATTCAAAGAAGCCACAAAGTACTGTAACTTTTGGAATCTATCCAAGTTTTAAATCAGCAGCAATTCCATAAAGCAGAAGGGAAATCAATCCCTTACTTTCTTTTGCTTTTTGTGTCAGTTGTCTGAAAAACACTAGAAGCAGACATGAGGTTTTCTATATATTGTCCAAGAACTTGGTTTTCTGATTTTAACTTCAGATTTTCTTCCTTAACTGCATCTACTCTTGCAGAGAGATCTATATAAAAAAATTAAAATGCCCATTATCAATAAAATGATGGTAATAACTCCATATTACAATATATTTAAGATTCATTCTTAAAAGAAGGATTGCATGTAACTGAGGATGTAGCTCTGTGGCAGAGCACTTCTCTAACATACACAAGGCGGCCCTGGTTAAATACCTTGGGGCTGCAAAGATAAAAGATCATGATCTAAATTTTCTGTTTTTAAATTCGGAGTACTTCAGAGCCCGCTGAGGTAAAGTAAATGAGTGCAATTCAGTAGATACTAATTCCTAAAAAGATTTCACATTAGATTCAATGGCATGCATTTAACAAATAAGTATTAATGCCCTCAAAGAGCCAGGCACTGTTCTTGAAGCAACAGTAGAGAAAAAAAGGTGCATATGGGCACGTGTTCATTAGGGAACAGGAGCAAATGTTAAGTGGAGAGCTGGATGGGGAAAAAATCAATGAGGGGAAAAGTACAAAGGGTGAAAGTCCTTATAAGGAGCAGTTGCGCTTTTCTATTCCGATAAAGAGAATCTGACCAGAGACTTTTAGGGAACGAGAGAATGAGCCATTTCGATGTGCAGCTAAGAGATGAGCGAAGCAGAGGGAAGCAGCCACCTGTCCTAGGTAGAAGCATGCTTGGCTGGTATAGGGAGATGACGGGGAAGGCAGACAGTCCGAGGTGGACTACGTGAGGCAGAGTGTAATGTGACCCTGAAAGGTGCCCTGGGAGCCACACCCTGGCTGCGGTCACCTCTGTCCAATGGGGACTCACTGGAAGCTTATCAGTGCCCAAAAGACACCACCCTTTAATTTCATTAAACACTAAAAGATGTCACAGTGCTAGTACTAATGTGATATTTAGAAAATTAAAAAACACCAATTCCCTTGTAGTTTCTCAGGTTAATATGTTGTCCTCAATTTAATGTAAGCTTTATTACAGCAGACTCAGTTACACATTGCCAGGATTTGAAAACAGCCCTCGTACTAAACAGCATCATGTTAAGACTTTCTTATTGAACCATATCTGTTCTTTTAGACACCAACCAAAACCAGGAGAAAGAGGAAAAAAAAAAACCACCTATGAAAATGGACACTTATACATCCTGAAAAACCTGGCAACATCAATGCTTACAACTTCAATGAACTAAATGTCATTCATAAAGTTACAAAATGTAAGCTAACCTTCAAGTGTGTGTTGGAGTTCCAACACTTGATTAATAAGTCGTGTTTTTTCCTCCAGTTCCACCTGATTTTCAGCATCAACTGCTGTAAAGAAAAGGTTCAAATTTACTATTAACAAACATTAGGCACCACTGTGTACTGTAGAACGTAAAGATCTGCACATTTTATATCCGTAGAGCCCACTGAAGTAAAAAATTATACCCCCACATCACTGATGGGCACAAAGGGGGAAATAAAGGTTGAAAACTTCCTCGGATCCTTTCTAAACCTAGACAGGATATAAATAAGTAAATGAACCACAACCTAAACCCGCGGAGACTGCCTCTCTGCTCTCTGCATTGTTAATAAAGCAAAAGCGTCTACAAGAAAAGAAAATGAAGAGTATACCATCCATGTCAGCATTCATCATCTTGGACAACAAACTTCCAGGCCTTGGACACAAAATCCTGGAACAGCCTACAAAAAGGGAAAGAAACACAGACACTGATGGTGATAAAATATAAACCTATTTTTCAAATGATAATAATTATAGGCAAATTATGTGACCCAGAACTCTTCACATGCTTTGCTACTTTCAAGAAAACAACTACCTATGGGTAAATGAGCAAAGGGGCACGACAGTACTGTTTACAAAGAGAAGCGTACCAAGGGCTTCTTGGTAACCCAAAAATGCATAAAATTAAACACTACTGTAAATTTATTCAATTTTTTTTTTTTTTTTTT